GCATAGTATTCAACGGCAAAACATAAAAATATGTATAGGTACAATGTATATTCTACGGGTAGTTGTTTGATGAGTGATATAAAGCACAAGTACACGCCATATATACTCTCCAACAAGATCGACAGTACAGTTGTAATTTGTACAGATCTCTCGTCAATACATCTGCCCCGACCCAGGCTACATGGAAGGTGCGCTCCCCCTCCTCCTGGGACAAATGTTCCCTTCCTATATACATCGCTGGTTGCCGGTAATTGCCCACTGTGGAGGCCATCACCCTCTGTAAACTTTATCTTTCTCACACAAATCAATTTACAAATCTACACTGGCGTCCTGCTGCTACAGTAAATAAAGATTTAAATTGTGTTGCGTGTTTCTGCAAATATTTTTCTTCTGTGTAATCCATTTGTAAATCTGCCTTGCACATCAATCTAGTCTTACTTTGATGGTAATTACACCTGCATATCTCTGGCATCCTCCCCAGGTAAGAAAGGTCCCGATTCCAATCAGTGGGATAAGGGACGGTTATAAAAGCGAGATGTTTACATGTACCTTATATCGGAAAAGGGCGGGGATTATATCAGATTCTCCTGTCATCACAGTTGTTTCCGTCCCAGTAGGTGTTTTAAACACGAACCCCGGGATGGTGGCTAGAGATCCACTTTTCCAACAGAGACCTCTGTGGCTTTCTGGCTGATCTTCAATCAATTATGTTCCCGTCTATTGGAATTTAATTGGAATCTTTGTGGTGGGTATGGCACTGAAAACATCATATTGGTTCTAGATTTGATATTCGAAATGCTTAAGTTCCTTTTGATCAGAGATTTCCCATAAAATAGTTACATGTAAAGTTATCATACACCAATTTGTTGAAACAGATAGGGTTGTGGTTGCTGAGAGGATGCAGGTCAGCCAGGGAGCGCCAATGTACTGCCGACACGTGGTCCGTCTGACCAGTAAATTAGGTATTCCAGACTCTATCCTTCTCCCTCCAACACAACCATTCCCAGTTCAAGATCTGGTTTACCGAGGTTTCCGGACTGGTTAGGGTTTGGTTAGACAGACTACGTCAAACACGTTATAAATAGCTAACTAATGTACATGTATACGTACCATGTTATATGAATTGTCGTCGTGCTTTATGAAGAGTTGCATGTAGAATGTTATTATCAGCAGTTACTATGTTATATGAACAGAAATCATTTGATATGAACAGTTATCGTGTTATATGTACATGAATATTAATGTAATTAACTAATTAAGGATTAACTTGAAAAAACGGAGTGTACTCTAAATAAACCGCGATGCGGTTTATGATGAGAGTACACTCCGTTTTTTGTATTATAGCTCCATAACATAAAAAGTATATTCAAGTCAATCCTTATAATTTAATCTCCTTTACACAATCCCTGTGGAAATTCACTATTATTGATGGACTCTTTTCTCTTAGAAATTGTTACACCGCTGCATCAGCCAAGCAAAAGCGACGTTACAAACGGCGACGTCATTTTTTTCACGTTATGGGCTGATAACGTAATATTTTTTAAGCAAATCAAAATACTTGTAACCAGCATGATTAAATTATTGTGCTGTATGATCAGTTCCCATTTTATATGAAAAACCATGTAATATGAACAGTTACGGTGTTATGTGAGCAGTTACAATACACGAACCATGTTTTATGAAGTTACTGTGTTATATGAACGGTTGACGTGCTATATGAACAGTTATATGAATAGTTACCGTATTTTGTGGATAGTTATCGTATTTTATGAATAGTTACCGTGTTTTATGAACAGTTACCGTGTTTTATGAACAGTTACCGTATTTTATGAACAGTTACCGTGTAATATGAACAGTTACCGTGTAATATGAACATTTACCGTGTTATACAGTATGAACAGTTACGGGGTTTTATGAACAGTTACCGTGTAATATGAACAGTTACCGTGTTATATGAACATTTACCGTGCACGGCGACATTTTTGTGGAGCTGTATGACTTTCGACATTAAGTATGCATAGCGCGCTAGTCCCGTCATTCACGCTGCAATACACAATGCTGAAAATGTTAAAATACAAGATGAAAAGGAAAAGCTTTTCATCTATTGGCAAATCCTTTTTGCATATCGGTTTAATATGTCTTTATGTAAAATCAAGCTACAAATAAATGTTTCCAGTCGTTGGTTTCAGAAACAGATTTACTTACATTTAATTGCCATTATCCACGAAGCAAAACTATCAAAAACGTATTATATTCAATAATCATGGTGCGTTATTCATTCCATGGCGAAAAGTTGGGTTGATCTTTTGGGTGTGATTGTTCAATCACAAAGGGATGTTAGCGGCAATAGGTATACCAGGTGGGATTAGGGCATTATCTATCATTCCGTCGTCTGGGCTGTGAAGATGGTCGGGGCTTCTAGGGAGGCAACGGGTTCATAGAAGCTTGCATGGAGTGTTCAATGGTGAGAGTAAGGGCTTATATAGGCTCGCATGAGTGTGCATTGATGAGAGTTTATTTGTGCTTGTCTGGACAGGAAGTGTGCTCAAGGTCCGGACCTAAAAAACCTTTAAGCTTGTCTGGAAAATGAATTTGAGGAGGGTCCGAGCAATCTATGTATGAGGACGGTCTGGACATATTTTTTTTTAGACTTGTGATAAAGGATGTCAAGGCTTCATTGTAGGCGTGTCTTGGCCGTGTGAGAGAGTCTGTAGGGGTCTGAGGTATGGTGAAGGTCCATTTTTATTTTTATTGTTGGCGTGTCTTGGCCGTGTGAGAGAGTCTGAATGGGCCGGGGGTATGGTGAAGGGTCAGGTTTCTGTTTATTGTAGGCGTGTCTTGGCCGTGTGATAGAGTCTGTAGGGGTCTGAGGTATGGTGAAGGTCCATTTTTATTTTTATTGTTGGCGTGTCTTGGCCGTGTGAGAGAGTCTGTATGGGCTGGGGGTATGGTGAAGGTTCAGTTTTATGTTTATTGTAGGCGTGTCTTCGCCGTGTGAGAGAGTCTGTATGGACCGGGGGTATGGTGAAGGTTCAGTTTTATGTTTATTGTATTCGTGTCTTGGCCGTGTGAGAGAGTCTGTAGGGGTCTGAGGAATGGTGAAGGTCCAGTTTTATGTTTATTGCAGGCGTGTCTTGGCCGTGTGAGAGAGTCTGTAGCGGTCTGAGGTATTGTGTAGGTCCAGTTTTATGTTTATTGTAGGCGAGTCTTGGCCGTGTGAGAGAGTCTGTATCGACCGGGAGTATGGTGAAGGTCCAGTTTTATGTTTATTGTAGGCATGTCTTGGCCGTGTGACAGAGTCTGTATGGGCCAGGGGTATGATGAAGGTCCAGTTTTATGTTTATTGTAGGCGTGTCTTGGCCGTGTGAGAGAGTCTGTATGGGCCAGGGGTATGGTGAAGGGCCAGGTTTATGTTTATTGTAGGCGTGTCTAGGCCGTGTGAGAGAGTCTGTATGGGCCGGGGGTATGGGGAAGGGCCAGTTTTATGTTTATTGTAGGCGTGTTTTGGCCGTGTGAGAGAGTCTGTATGGGCCGGAGATATGGTTAATTTCCAGTTTTATGTTTATTGTAGGCGTGTCTTGTCCGTGTGAGAGAGTTTGTATGGGCCGGGGGTATGATGAAGGGTCAGGTTTATGTTTATTGTAGGCGTGTCTTGGCCGTGTGAGAGAGTCTGTATGGGCCGAGGGTATGGTGAAGGTCCAGTTTTATGTTTATTGCAGGCGTGTCTTGGCCGTGTGAGAGAGTCTGTATGGGCCGGAGGTATGGTTCAGGTCCAGTTTTATGTTTATTGTAGGCGTGTCTAGGCCGTGTGAGAGAGTTTGTATGGGCCGGGGTTATGGTGGAGGTCCAGTTTTATGTTTATTGTAGGCGTGTCCTGGCCGTGTAAGAGTCTGTATGGGCCGGGGGTATGGTGAAGGTCCAGTTTTATGTTTATTGTAGGCGTGTCTAGGCCGTGTGAGAGAGTTTGTATGGGCCGGGGGTATGGTGGAGGTCCAGTTTTATGTTTATTGTAGGCGTGTCCTGGCCGTGTGAGAGTCTGTATGGGCCGGGGGTATGGTGAAGGGCCAGGTTTATGTTTATTGTAGGCGTGTCTAGGCCGTGTGAGAGAGTCTGTATGGGCCGGGGGTATGGTGAAGGGCCAGGTTTTTGTTTATTGTAGGCGTGTTTTGGCCGTGTGAGAGAGTCTGTATCGGTCAGAGGTATGGTAAAGGTCAAGTTTTATGTTTATTGTAGGCGTGTCTTGGCCGTGTGAGAGAGTGTGTATGGGCCGGAGGTATGGTGGAGGTCCAGTTTTACGTTTATTGTAGGCTTGTCTTGGCCGTGTGAGAGAGTTGGTATGGGCCAGAGGTATGGTAAAGGTCAAGTTTTATGTTTATTGTAGGCGTGTCTTGGCCGTGTGAGAGAGTCTGTATGGGCCGGGGGTATGGTGAAGGGCCAGTTTTATGTTTATTGTAGGCGTGTCTTGGCCGTGTGAGAGAGTCTGTATCGACCGGGAGTATGGTGAAGGTCCAGTTTTATGTTTATTGTAGGCGTGTCTTGGCCGTGTGAGAGAGTCTGTATGGGCCGGAGGTATGGTGGAGGTCCAGTTTTATGTTTATTGTAGGCGTGTCCTGGCCGTGTGAGAGTCTGTATGGGCCGGGGGTATGGTGAAGGTCCAGTTTTATGTTAATTGTAGGCGTGTCCTGGCCGTGTGAGAGAGTTTGTATTGGCCGGAGGTACGGTGAAGGGCCAGGTTTATACAGACTCGGCTGTAGCGACCGAGAGTATGGGAAGTGTTCGAGCAAACAATGACTGTCTGGGGAGAACCAAGCACACATGGCATGACAAGCACCCAATAACTAGAAAACTCGTGCCATCATTGCGCAATTTTCCTTCAAGCATCGCATTTTTGTTAGCTAATCTGGTAAATAAGTTATCATGCTGCATGTCCTAGCATGTTAAGTTTAGAGACGGTATAACATAAAGCACGGTTAGAATCACTTACGTTTATTATAACCAGTCAGTGGTGCCTTGGTAAACATAGCACTTAATAAGGTACCTTGCCTTATACCCATCAATCATTGCTCTGCCATTTCACACAGCATTTATTTATCAGACTTATCGGGATGTATTAGTGTAGGAATCGCCTTCATAGGATGGGACAGCTTACCGTTTAACAGAACCCCTTACGTGATCTGATCAACCTGTTGTGACGAACTATGGAAGCTTGCGATTTGGAGAATCAGATGTCCCGTGTTATTGGTGGGATAAATCGCGGTTTCTTGCGGCTCGCTGCCTGCCACCTAATGAGTACGTGGAGGGGTGAGAGTGAATTATTCGTCGTGTTGGACTGAGAGTTTAGTGATCTTCCGCTTTCCCCTGTCCTCCCCCACTGCACGCGACACGTGTCTATGGAAGTAGTCCCCCGCTGGGATGTGCAGATCGACAGCACGTGCATGCACGTCGTGTACAGTTATGTACCGCCGCCAAGTCATCTCGACATTGCTTTTGATAGCCATAGTACTGGTCGGTAAGTAGGAACATATGTGTCAAATGACAACTAGGACATTCATATATTAGTGTTATCAATTTCTTCGGTCACCTTGTCCTTAACTGACCAATACATATATTGTATTACATCAATTTATCTAAAGTTGTCTTATAGTGACAAAATCATCTTCAAAAATGCATGTTCATTTCGCTTCGTTTTCAGGATATAACTTGTTCAACACTTATTTGTATGACTTTTTTGTTGAAAAGATACGAAAATTACCATAATCGATATGCCATTGCCGATATTTGGTTAAGTATTTGGTTAAGTATTTGGTTTATGAAAAGACACCGTATTTAAAAACGTTTCCTTTAAAAATAAAGATAATTGCTTTTGTATAATATTAATATAGATCAGGAATATTAAATAATTTCTTTGTTTTAAATATGGCAGCATATAATCATATATTTATATTGGCAAACTACAAGTAGTAACTAATATGGAAATATTTTAACTTTTATGTAATTCAAAGATATGATTAAATTAATTATGCTATATATTGAACACATCGTGTGTTAAATGGCGTATGGAGGTGTGTTAATTTCCTGGTCATGTTCCAGGGAGTTGGGTAGGGTATTAAACGCACGCTTTTGATTTATTTCATGTATCAACAATACTCTGACAGATACGTATACACGTACATCTGGTGAAGCACGTGGGATTCGCGTGCGTCGTTATACATATATTATATATAGGACATATTCCAGCTGGGATCTTCTATAGCTTCATTTCCGTATTTTACATATATATTTACAGAAGATGTCAATTTTCTATCATGTTTGCGCACGGTAGCGCATTTGTTTGTGTTGTCCGACATCCATTTTCTTCCTACCAGCGCACGTGTAAGCGCGTACCTACAGTACCAAGTAAATATTTTATTGATGTATATTTGATTTTGAGAATGTGTTCGAGTAGGTATATATGATCACGTTCAGCAACAATCCAGAAACTCGCGTTCTTTATGCTTAAACAGAGCAATTCGAAATCTGTGTTATAACTCGTCCCAGGTGGCTGTATAGGACCGAACAGCTCACTGAAAGGGCTTATCGGCGTGTATGGCATGTTACAGCTTCATGAGTCCATCACGATAGGTGATCGTATAATATTAACCCACAACAGAACTGTTTTAGGTCAAGAAAGACGACAACACTCAAAGAAATGTTTAAAAATTCATTTAGCAGAATCCTCCCCGGAGAGATTTTAGCCGTCCGTGGCGTCTCATTTCTCTAATCATATCTTTAAGTGTGAACTCAAGAAACGCCATGTTTGGTTAGGAACATTTCCTAAGTTGACTATTAAAATGTCAAAATAAGAAATTGAACCGACTTTTCTAAAGAAATGTTAACTGCATATTGCCCAGTTGTAACCGTATCGGACGCCGTGCACCGGTGGGGAGAGATAGCGTTCTGATTGCGTCTGATACGCGTCCTTATCCAGTCACGCTAACCCTCGGCGCATTACAAATCTAGCAGTTCAAATTCCCCAGGATAAAGACTCCCACACCTACCCCGGTGAATATTTATCAGTTATTAACCGCAGAAAGTTGTATTAACCGAGACGAAGCCGATACAAACATCACTTTTCAGGTTTACATAACCATAGACGTCTAGTATTGTTATATTACACATGAACTTATGATATCTGAATCATTGAACAAGATGGAGGCAAAACATAAAACAGTACTACATTTGGCAGTTCATTGTAATCATTGTGAAATACACGTAACAATTCAAGTGGCGTCAAAAAGAAAATGACGACCTAGCGTTTCTTAAAACAGTAACGCAGAGTAAATATCACAAATCACCGACCTTTTCATGATTAATATTTAACCCACGGGATTATAAGGTAAATGGTGTCATTTGATATTTCTGGATAGGTATACGTGTAAAGGTAGAGGCGATAATAGCACCAACGTCTCTAAACCAACTCCAAAAACTGGACAATTACTGTAAATTGCATTTGAACAGTTGAATATAAATGCCATGTCTCGTTTTATTATAAAAGTAAATATATACAGAAATAAACGAACTGAACAATGTGTTTCAGCACGACCTATAAAGGCCGCCATTTTAATTGGCCTATTAAAATACACGTCATTCGTATCGATTCCTACACTCACATTGCCCGTCACTATAATACACCATTATCATTTTCTTATTTTAATAGCTGTGGTTGACCTTGTCTGTAGATAGCTGTGCGTGTTACAAGTTCATTACGTGGACCTGTTCGCTGGCTATTCTTTAGCATTTGTATGAGATCAGAATTAACGTGGCTATTTCTAGTAATTACATCATCTAAATATGGAAGATCGTTTGAAAGTTTACTCTATTCTATAAACGACTGACGTCTTACAAATTAATATATGTACGAAAGACATTACAGGTGTAGTTTGACTGAAGACTTAAAACTGTTCCTTTCTACACGGTACGGGAGAAGGCAGACACCTTTGTGCTCGCGCTGAAGGAGGTGTCTCAAACGTGAAGTTTAACTTATAGCTAGCAATAATGGATTAAACATTTCTCGACGATCGCTGAACCATTTATTATTTATTTTCGTATTTAGTTGTTAGATTTTAAAGTTTTCCCATTTTTTTGAAAAGTAATTTCTGTGCATGTAAGTGATATGTATGTTTTATGCATGTATGCGCTGTCGGCGTTACCTCTGATGTCAAACGCCTACCAGTATTTTCGTTTAGTCATCTGTAATTACCATTGAATTCCAAAGGCATACGTCGTAGTGTCTATGCTAACCAGATATAAATGTTAGTATGCAACATGAGATCCCATACATTGCTGCATTGTACGATTGTGAAACCGTTGCCACCCATCCCAAAGTAATGTTTGTCAAGAGGAATTCAGAAATACCAAGCAAATATGTTCTGTTAAAAATTCAATTAATGCATGTTGTGTAATCAGAAAAATATGAAGCGTTGTTAAGTCATTTTTGCAGTAAGGTGTTTTACTCCCTAGGTTATGTTGTTAATGTTTGTACACGGTGTATATCACAGCATATTTAACTGGTTTTACTGATAAATGATATATGATATCAATAATGATTTCTAATATATGCAAAATTGAACCTATTTAACTATGCAACACAGCACAACAACATTTTACACGTAATAGTAAAAAAATAACACTTTTACATCTGATTGGCCAGATTGGATTATGATTGCGACGTCATTACATTGTAGGTAATTAATTGATTAGGACAACACCGGTTTTGTGATCTGTGCCACGGGAACATACATGTACGTGTACATGTAGTTCAGGCCTGGATGCAATGAATCAAGCCCGCGATGGCAGTAAACAGCAATATAAGATGTAAAGGAACAAAAGTCCTGACATGGGTAGTTGTAACGAATAAGCAGTGTAGCCGGATAGGGAGGTCTCACGTGGGGCTTTTCTGTCTGAGATGTCTGCTAATAAGTGACACGTTATTTAGCATTCCCAAGACGTTGCCAACAGTGAGTTAACGACTCTAGGATGTAACTTCTTAACATCCTGTGACCTCACTAGTCCAGCGAATTAACAGATAGAATGAACTAACACCACCACATCACAGACCATAACTTTGATAAATCGGGTTTAAAAGCATCACGATTATGATTTGATGCCCTTGCTATAAAGGAAATACGAATATATTTTGAATGTAAAGTTTGCTTCCCTAATTGAATCATATTTCCCGAGGGCTTTAGTAAACAACCCTTAGGATGTCCTCTATACCAGCGTTCAATGCCATATAGATGATGTTACATGAAAGATTAGTGTGCCAAACTGTACTATCGTAATATCATCTACAGATGACGTCCCAAAAGAACACCCTGAAATCCAATTCTTACATGTTAAATAGGCGATGTCTAAATAGAATCCGCGCGAATCTGACCAATCACAATATGGTGTATATCTTTCTGCAAGATCGATATTATTTTTACAAACTGGTTGACTATTTAAGAGCTTAATCACGAACGCCGTCTTCCCTGTTATCAATAATTGTCTCATCATCATGTGACAAATAGGATACATTATTTTTCGTACAGCTAGCATAAAAAACGTATGTTTTATTGTTTAAATATGGCATTTTGTCGTCATTTTGACACTCGAAGACAAATTGCAAGATTGAAGGCCGAGTAGTGAGTTAGAAATAGTAGTTATTAAATGTCGATCACCACTTCTCATGTAGTCACGCGACCTCAGAGTTACCAAACATTTAGTATTTATGAGATACATTTTTCATATTGAATTGATGAAACGGTAATGGAGACTGCAATCGACTATAAATAACACAAAGATGTGGTCGAGTTGTCTCTTGACTCATGTTATGAAGCTGCCAACAAGTATTTGTCTGTGTGTTACAGATGTGGCCGAGTTGTCGCCAGAAAAGCGCCTGATCAAAACCCTGTTAGCAGATTATGAAGAACGTGGGAAAATGGGTCGCCCTGTTGAGCATTTTAACGACACTCTCATGGTCAACTACGGCCTCAGTCTCATACAGATACTGGACCTAGACGAGCGCAACCAGGTCCTCAGTACCAACGTGTGGGCAACCTATGTGAGTACCATTGTGTGAATCACCATTGTAAGTTTAAGACCCAACGTATAAGTCTCCTTCTTTTATTTACTCACCGAGTCACATTTCTTAAGTTTTCAGGCGTTTAAGTCACCTACGTATGTGTCCACGTAAGTCACCTAGGTAATGTAAATACCGTTTTATAAGGAATTTTCGTAAGTACAATGTACCAACGTTTGAGTCACGCAAGTACCAATGTTGGAGTCACGTAACGCGAGTACCAACATGAGTTACCTCGTAATACCAGCTTGGGCCTCCTATTTATGTACATATGTAAGTACCAACATAAGTTACCTCGTAATATCATCTTGGGCCGCCTATATATGTAAGTACCAACATGAGTTACCTCGTAATACCATCTTGGGTCGCCTATATATGTAAGTACCAACATGCGAGTCATTCACACAAGTGCCAACGCGAGTCATCTATGCATGCATTAACTTGAGTCACTTACCCATAAACAATTAAATAAGTTACCCTTTTAATTACATTTGTACCATGGTGAGTCGCTTACATGAGTTCCAAAATGAGTCACGTACGTACAGTGTAAGAACCAACGCGTAGGTCATCTACGTAGGTACCAACGTGGGGGTCATCTACGTAGGTACCAACGCGTAGGTCATCTACGTAGGTACCAACGCGTAGGTCATCTACGTAGGTACCAACGCGTAGGTCATCTACGTAGGTACCAACGCGTAGGTTATCTACGTAGGTACCAACGTGGGGGTCACCTAAGCATGGGTACATCCTATTTAGCATGCTTTATTTTGCGGTAAATTATCCCGTATTCCCTTTTTGCTTATTGTTCACAACCAGCGTTAGACTAAATAACCGAATGTTAGGTTTTCGTGTCAGACGAAAAAGATGGTCTGGCGTTGAAAAAAAAAAGAAGATTTACCAGTGAAACGTCGAAGCCAACTTTTTTGGAAAGTGTTGGTGGTAGAGTGATTTGAGTTGCTGGTATTGTCGCCGTAGATATCGAGTTCAAGGCCCGAACAAGGCAATGCATATTGAAGTGGTTCCATGTTACATGTACTTTACATGAACATACGATTTCGGTCCTATACGTTATATATGTAAGATCAAATAAAGAATGAAACTACAAACACAACATCATTGTTGGTGTACTTATGTACCTTTTCTGTTAGAACACTAATACCAGCCAACCAACACTACATCAGTGTTGGTGTACTTATGTACCTGTTCTGTTAGAACACTAATACCAGCCAACCAACACTACATCAGTGTTGGTGTACTTATTTACCTATTCTGTTAGAACACTAATACCAGCCAACCAACAATCTACAAAAAATGTGTAATACTATTATATATTACAAATTTATAATATTGTAATGCATATACTGGAACAAATTTATGAGTTTAAGTTTATTACATACGCATGTACTACCGATCGTATTAAATGCATTGAACATGTAGGATGTCAATAACAAACGCAGATTGCATTTTTAAGTATTGATTATCGAAACATATGAAACAGATTAAAGTGATGAAATTTGTGCAGTTCTTATTAAATATTTGTATGCACCGTATACTACATTGTATAACCCATTTTCTCCCGCAACCACTATAGATTTCCTCACTCCTGAATCATTGGATAAACCTGCTAGGAGTTGGTAAACATTATACAATTGTTTCATGGCTATTTGGGGAACAGTCAAAACTATCATCCCGAGGTAGGGGGAAGCCCTGGGGAACTGTTTGCCCGAGGCCGCTAGGCCAAGGGCAAACAGTTCCACAGGGCTTCCCCCTACCGAGGGATGATAGTTTTGACTGTTCCCCAAATAGCCATGAAACAATTGTTTTATTACCAAATAAATATTAGTATCAATGCTGCATGCAATGTTGCCATTGCTTCAACACTGAGTCGCGGTCACCGAAACGCTTGAAGGGGGCTCTCGAGGGGGGGATTTCTGCGCATCGAATTCGCGCCAGGTAACAGTTCGCTCTGACAAAAACCCAGAAACAGTCAAAAATGACTAATTATAATTTATATAGACTATTGGGTAATAATACGTAATAATGCTTTGCGATTGTGACGTCATGATTCACAGCAATAGTTTTCCCCCATCGGAAGCCGACAAAGTGTATTTTCAACGGAAACATCGGTAAACCACGTGTCTTTATACAATTTGAACATTAACTAAATCGAGTTAGATAAACATGATAACCAAATATCACTCGTTGGGGGACCTCTATTTACAGCTACGTGTACAATTGGGTACCTCAGTATATTCTTTGTACGTCGCAGTTCACCGTCTACTGCATCAGGACAATGATAAAGCAATTCAACAACTGTCATGTTATGTTGCCAAATATGATACGTATATGCTGAACTCCTTTGTAAATAATTGATGTTCTAATTAAAAGAACGTGTGCCAACATATATCGGCGTTATGTAAATACACGTGTACTGTTTACCTGCTACTCGTGTCAACATGTCCCATTTGGTACTCAGTTTACTGTTACTTACATGCCACTCGTGTCAACAAGTCTGCGTCGGTACTTAGTATTGTATACTAACCGACAACTTATGTCAACATGTCCAAGTCGGTACCTAGTAGTGTACACTAACTGGTCTCATCTGTCAACATGTCCCAGTCGGTACCTAGTAGTGTACACTAACTGGTCTCATGTGTCAACATGGCCCAGTCGGTACCTAGTAGTGTACACTAACTGGTCTCATGTGTCAACAGGTCCCAGTCGATACCAAGTAGTGAACACTAACTGGTCTCATGTGTCAACATGTCCCAGTCGGTACCTAGTAGTGTACACTAACTGGTCACTCGTGTCAACATGTCCCAGTCGGTACCTAGTATTGTACACTAACTGGTCTCATGTGTCAACATGGCCCAGTCGGAACCTAGTAGTGTACACTAACTGGTCTCATGTGTCAACAGGTTCCAGTCGGCACCTAGAAGTGTACACTAACTTGCATCTTGTGTCAACAGATCCCAGTCGGTACCTAGTAGTGAACACTAACTGGTCTCATGTGTCAACATGTCCCAGTCGGTACCTAGTAATGTACACTACATAACTGGTCTCATGTGTCAACAGGTCCAAGTCGGTACCTAGTAGTGTACACTAACTGGTCTCATGTGTCAACATGTCCCAGTCGGTACCTAGTAATGTACACTACATAACTGCTCTCATGTGTCAACAGGTCCAAGTCGGTACCTAGTAGTGTACACTAACTGGTCACTCGTGTCAACATGTCCCAGTCGGTACCTAGTATTGTACACTAACTGGTCTCATGTGTCAACATGTCCTAGTCGGTACCTAGTAGTGAACACTAACTGGTCTCATGTGTCAACATGTCCCAGTCGGTACCTATAGTAGTGTACACTAACTGGCCTTTTGTGTCAATAGGTTCCGGTCGGTACCTAGTAGTGTACACTAACTTGCATCTTGTGTCAACAGATCCCAGTCGGTACCTAGTAGTGTACACTAACTGGTCTCATGTGTCAACATGTCTCAGTCGGTACCTATAGTAGTGTACACTAACTTGCATCTTGTGTCAACAGACCCCAGTCGGTACCTAGTAGTGAACACTAACTGGTCTCATGTGTCAACATTTCCCAGTCGGTACCTAGTAATGTACACTAACTGGTCTCATGTGTCAACAGGTCCAAGTTGGTACCTAGTAGTGTACACTAACTGGTCTCATGTGTCAACATGTCCCAGTCGGTGCCTAGTAGTGTACACTAACTGGTATCATGTGTCAACAGTTCCCATTCGGTACCAAGTACTGTATACTTACCGGTCTATTGTGTCAACAGGTCTGCGTCGGTACATAGTCCTGTATACAACAGTGTAACCGGCAACTTCTGTCAACATGTCCCAGTCGGTACCTATAGTAGTGTACACTAACTGGCCTTTTGTGTCAATAGGTTCCGGTCGGTACCTAGTAGTGTACACTAACTGGTCTCATGTGTCAACAGGTCCCAGTCGGTACCTAGAACTGTATACTAACCGGTATATCGTGTCAACAGGTACATGAACCAGGCGGTACTTAGTACTGTATACTAGCCGGTATATCGTGTCAACATGCCCAAGTTCCAAGTCGGTACTTAGTACTACATTGTATATACATATGTACAAACCGGCAACTCGTGTCAATATGTCCCAGTCGGTACCACGTAGTGTGTACACTAATCGGAAGCTTGTGTCAACATGTCTCAGTCGGTACCTAGTAGTGTACACTAACCGGCAGCTCGTGTCAACATTTCCCATTCGGTACTCAGTATACTGTTTACTAACATGTCATTCGTGTCAACAGGTCTGCGTCGGTACTGAGTACTATATGCATGTGTACAAACCGGCAACTCGTGTTAACATGGCCCAGTCGGTACCTCGTAGTGTGTACACTAACCGGCAACTCGTTTAAACATGTCCCAGTCGGTACCTATAGTAATGTACACTAACTGGTCTCTTGTGTCAACATGTCCCAGTCGGTACCTAGTAATGTACACTAACTGGCCACTCGTGTCAACGGATCCCAGTTGGTATCAAGTACTGTATACTAACGGCCTTTCGGTGTCGACATGTACATATCCCAGCCGGTACTTAGTACTGTATACTAACCGGTCTATTGTGTCAACATGCCCAAGTTCCAAGTCGGTACTGAGTACTATATACAAACCGGCAACTCGTGTCAACATGTCCCAGTCGGTACCTCGTAGTGTACACTAACTGGCAACTCGTGTCACGAGTCCCAGTCGGTTGTTTGTAAACGGCCACTCGTGTCCCAGTCGGTTACCACTACTACTTTAAACTAACCGGTCACTCGTGTCAACATGTCCCATTTGGTCACTAACTGGCAATTCGTGTCACGAGTCCCAGTCGGTTGTTTGTAAACGGCCACTCGTGTCCCAGTCGGTACCCACTACTACTTTAAACTAACCGGTCACTCGTGTCAACATGTCCCATTTGGTACCTCGAGTTGTATGCTACAAGTAACAGATCACTCGTGTTAGCATGGACAGTAAGTATATATGTACAACCTTCATGTACTACTGTATACTAACCAACCACCCGTGTCAACGTCTCAGGCGGGTTATCCGTCAGTGTGATCAATTAACTTTTTGACGGAAAAGTACGTGTTTGGACTTTATAATAACGGGAAACATATCGCATCTGTATACGGATAAAAAATGAATCGTCACACAACATCCAGCACGGATGACGGCGCAGTAAGATGCTTCATTGTGTCGGATCGCTTTGTGTATATATTCTGTACCTGTATATATACATGCGAACCTGTATGTATATCGATCTATTCCGTCTAAGAAAAAATAAGTATAACTCGCGCGTGTTGAGGTAGCCAGCTTCGTACGAATGTGCTTCAGTGCCATCAACCCCCACCTCAGATACAATCACAGATTTTGAAGAAATATTTAGTTTTCCAATTAGTAAAACATTGTTGTTTAGAGTACAGATAAGAATAGGAGACACAGTCTTGATAACTCTGACGAATTGCAACGTTTTTCACTGACTTGTTGCTATCAGATCGACAGAGATGAGGCGCTGTATTTCACAATAACTGCTTCAACATGTAAACAAGGAATTAAAGAGATGCATTAGTTTTACTTGAAGTAAACCATTTTAGGATATATTTTCTGATTACCCTGGTTTTGTCAGTAAGGTCGTTCTATGTCGTGAGAATACTTATCAGATATGTATTCTTTTACAGACTTGGAGGGACATCTACATGCAATGGGACCCTGAGAAATATAACAACATCACAAAGATCCGCGTGCCAAGCGGCAGTATCTGGCAACCTGACATAAAACTGTACAATTAGTAAGTAAAACTTCATCTTTCTGTAATGATCTCAGCCTGATCATCTCAGAATCAACATCCCATCACCACGGAATCAACAGCCCATCACCACAAAATCACCAGCCCATCACCACAAAATCACTAGTCCATCACCAAAGAATCACCAGTCCATCACCACAAAATCACCGGCCCAACACCACAGAATCACAAGCCCATTAACAAAAAATCACTAGTCCATCACCACAGAATCACCAGTCCATTAACACAAAATCACTAGTCCATCACCACAGAATCACCAGACCATCACCACAGAATCACCAGCCCATCAACACAAAATCACTAGTCCATCACCACAGAATCACCAGTCCATCACCACAAAATCACCGGTCTATCACCACAGAATCACCAGCCCATTAACACAAAATCACTAGTCCATCACCACAAAATCACCAACCCATCACCACAAAATCACCAGCCCATCACCACAGAATCACCAGCCCAACACCGCAAAATCACCAGCACATCAACACAAAATCACCAGTCCATCACCACAAAATCACCAGCACATCACCAAAGAATCACCAGCCCATCACCACAGAATCACCGGCCCATCACCACAGAATCACCAGCCCATCACCACAGAATCACCGGCCCATCACTACAGAATCACCACAGAATCACCACAAAATCACCACAAAATCACCAGCCCATCACCACAGAATCACCACAGAATCACCAGCCCATCACCACAAAATCACCAGCCCATCACCACAGAATCACCAGCCCATCAACATAAAATCACCAGCCCATCATCAGTTGTAATAAATTATCATACACGTACGCATTCTTAACGCTAACACCTATCCTTACACAGTTGTAATGATAACACCATTCCTTACATAATCGTACCCTAACACTCATCCTTACACAATCTTACATGTAATATTTACACCCATCCTAACACAATAGTAACCCTAACACTCATCCTTACACAAACGTAATGTTAATATTTATCCATACACAATCGTAGCCCTAACAACCATCCTTACACAATTGTACCCAACCACCGATCGTTACACAATCGCAATGTTAACACTTATCCCTACACAATTGTACCCTTCCACCGATCGTTACACAATCGCAATGTTAACACTTATCTCTACAAAATTGTACCCTACCACCGATCGTTACACAATCGCAATGTTAACACTCACCCCTACACAATTGTTCCCTACCACCGATCGTTACACAATCGCAATGTTAACACTTATCCCTACACAATTGTACCCTACCACCGATCGTTACACAATCGCAATGTTAACACTTATCCCTACACAATTGTACCCTACCACCGATCGTTACACAATCGCAATGTTAACACTTATCCCTACACAATTGTACCCTACCACCGATCGTTACACAATCGCAATGTTAACACTTATCCCTACACAATTGTACCCTACCACCGATCGTTACACAATCGCAATGTTAACACTTATCCCTACACAATTGTACCCTACCACCGATCGTTACACAATCGCAATGTTAACACTTATCCCTACACAATTGTACCCTACCACCGATCGTTACACAATCGCAATGTTAACACTTATCCCTACACAATTGTACCCTACCACCGATCGTTACACAATCGCAATGTTAACACTTATCCCTACACAATTGTACCCTACCACCGATCGTTACACAATCGCAATGTTAACACTTATCCCTACACAATTGTACCCTACCACCGATCGTTACACAATCGCAATGTTAACACTTATCCCTACACAATTGTACCCTACCACCGATCGTTACACAATCGCAATGTTAACACTTATCCCTACACAATTGTACCCTACCACCGATCGTTACACAATCGCAATGTTAACACTTATCCCTACACAATTGTACCCTACCACCGATCGTTACACAATCGCAATGTTAACACTTATCCCTACACAATTGTACCCTACCACCGATCGTTACACAATCGCAATGTTAACACTTATCCCTACACAATTGTACCCTACCACCGATCGTTACACAATCGCAATGTTAACACTTATCCCTACACAATTGTACCCTACCACCGATCGTTACACAATCGCAATGTTAACACTTATCCCTACACAATTGTACCCTACCACCGATCGTTACACAATCGCAATGTTAACACTTATCCCTACACAATTGTACCCTACCACCGATCGTTACACAATCGCAATGTTAACACTTATCCCTACACAATTGTACCCTACCACCGATCGTTACACAATCGCAATGTTAACACTTATCCCTACACAATTGTACCCTACCACCGATCGTTACACAATCGCAATGTTAACACTTATCCCTACACAATTGTACCCTACCACCGATCGTTACACAATCGCAATGTTAACACTTATCCCTACACAATTGTACCCTACCACCGATCGTTACACAATCGCAATGTTAACACTTATCCCTACACAATTGTACCCTACCACCGATCGTTACACAATCGGAATGTTAACACTTATCCCTGCATAATTGTACCCTACCACCGATTGTTACACAATCGCAATGTTAACACTTATCCCTACACAATTGTACCCTACCACCGATCGTTACACAATCGCAATGTTAACACTTATCCCTACCCAATTGTACCCTACCACCGATCGTTACACAATCGCAATGTTAACACTTAACCCTACCCAATTGTACCCTACCACCGATCGTTACACAATCGCAATGTTAACACTTATCCCTACACAATTGTACCCTACCACCGATCGTTACACAAGCGTAATATTTACACCCAGCCTTACACACTCGTAACCCTAACACTCATCCTTATGTAGCAGTGGTGGTTTTTGTAGATTAAACATCAACAAACAATGTGAGAGTTCTTCACGATTAATTGCGCGTAGTTCCCATTCCTTAGACATAAATTATTAAACCCTGCAATTATATAATAATTACATTTCAGATATATGTATGGGATCTACAAATCATTCATAACGCACATATACATGTAGCACACTGTGAATTTACAAGAAGTTATCTTGAGATGTTACATGTAAGATTATAGTTCTATAAATTATAAAAGTTATATTACATCTAGATTTACATTATATTTACTGATATCTATACACATGTAATATTGAACATATGATGCAAATCTTATCTTAGCTCAGTATTTATTGATACGGAGGCTACTTAATAAATAGACAAAGAGTACAATAAAATACATTCATCAATACATTACTATAAGTTTGAGTAGAAAACTGTACCTATTTGTGGAACAGGGCCATTTGAAGTCGTACGGAATTATCCGAGGTTATTACGTGTACTCGTAATTTTTGTATGACAAAGAAACACGTATATATATATAATACAAGTAAAATGACACAATATATATATACCGTACAGCTAATAACGAATCAAGAATTAACAAGTATGATCGTATCTATCAATTTGACAATATGAATGGAAGCAGATGATTTAGAATTAGAAGTATTAATTAGTGCAAGTTATTGAATTTCCTTACCAGTGTCCTGTCTTGTCTGCTTCGTCAAGACGTCATGTAGTCTCTGATAAATATCGCGCCAAAACCACTGGTCACACAAAGAAAAAAAAGAAACCATTGACCATTGGCTAACCTAAGAGGTGACAACGGGATAACTTACAAAACTGACCAATGATAAAAATATATATAACCAAACCAATCCAAGAGGCCAAAATAAGGAAATAACTATACCACAATATGAATATCGCTATTACTATATCAGAACATATGTATATACCGTAATATTATAAATATTGATATCACAAATATCGTCTCTGCCACACTTACAAAAACGTAATTACCCATCTCAATGACATCATGTTAAAGACTACAGACCATATATTTACATCAACACAGAAACATACACAAAGCCCCGAACAAACTTTATTGAAAATGTGCAATACAATGAGAGCGTGGCATTTGTAGTGCGAGTTTGCTTGAATTTGTCTTAAATCATTACTGTAAAATGCCGTTACAGGTTGTGCTTACAGCAGTGTGTACAATGTTGAGGACGGAATGTTTTGCATAATTAGTAGCAAAATACTGTCAGATAACGCCATTTATAAATATGACATTTATTATTTGAATATACGAACGACTGGTTGGTATTAATAGGCATTTAATTCCGTATTACAGTGCGGACGAGCGGAGGGAGGAGAAGCGAGATGCCCTGTTCGTGGTGGAATCGGACGGGTCCGTGCTCTGGATACCACAGGCCATTTTCAAAAGCTCATGTGCAATAGATATAATGCACTTCCCTTTCGACGTCCAGATCTGTAAGATGAAGTTTGGTTCCTGGACATACGATGGCAGTAAGATCGACCTGTCCTTTGTATACACGACTGAATCGGGATTTGACATGACTGACTACGTGAAAAGCAACGAGTGGGACATCAAAACGTCCTACTCCAAAAAGAACGTTATACGGTATGCATGTTGCCCAGAGCCGTTCGTCGACCTGACCTTCATGCTGGAGATCCGCCGGAAGCCGGCCTTCTATAACTACATACTCATACTTCCGTGTATCCTCCTCTCATCGCTCACATTGGTGCTCTTCTGGCTTCCCCCAGAGTCCCCGGCCAAAATGCAGTTGGGTAAGTTTTATTGTTGTGACAGGCACAGAACACTGGGGTTTCTGATCATGAGTAAGGTACACCGTGACACATTGAACACATTTTGGAATATTCTTCAATATAAATGCTTGATTTTAAGAGACCGACGATATAAGCAGAAAATTACTAACCATATCACAAAACATGCGTTACAATTCCATAGGCTGTGACTTTATCAGATTTAGAGAAACAAGTGCCCGTGGTGGCTAGTGACAATTGTTTTTTGGTGTGCTCCGCGGTCAGTTTCTATATACAGTTGTGACCAAACCTCGTTGTGTAATTCCTTCTCTTGATGTCCAGACGATCATCCAGAACACTATTGACCACTCTTCATGGTATGATTGGTTTTAAATCGGGTACTTGCCGTCAACATTAATCAGGAGAAGTGTGCTCACAGTCACCGTGTCCTCGTTTCCCTGTCGTCTAGTGTCGGGTTGTCAGGTCTCATCCGCAGTCGCACTGACCGAAATCGCGTCGTACTTGAGCCAACACTCGAGCCACAGATTTGGGCTATAACAAGTCGTACACGGATTCGTATTGTTGATTATACAAGAAATAAGTTTAAGGTTAACCAATATAAAATGATTCCTTCGATAGTCTATATCTGTGGACATCACACATTTTCTGAATAGATTAGGCAGGTATTAGTTACCAAGTCTACAGTCTTGAGTCGTGTCCGTAACATGTCGCTCACATCTGCAGTCAAAGAGCAATGAAAAGAATAGCTGGATACATAGACATTTTGTATCAAAGCAATTACTAGTCCGGACACCGCCTCCATAAACAAACGTATTCGAGGGTAAAAACGGAAATTGGAATGGCTGCTGGAACACGGAAGCTAGTGTTTGTCCGATTCCTTCATCGCCATCAGACACGAGTGTTTCGTTACCGCTCCGGGCACTACAAGAAGGCAAGGGCTTCTTCTCTAGGCTTTACGTAATGTTGTTAGGTGGTCTGATTTAATTTCTGCTGGATGAATTTAGTTTTCTATAGAGACGAGATATATTACTTGGCGGAGTGTATTTAGACCGTTTTGCGCTACTGCTGTATGGCACAGAAGCGAGACTTGGAAGCGGTTTTGCTGCTATCATCAGTTGGGCGTTTGCCCTCTTCAATTATAGATCTCCTGTTAATAACCATCATGTCGTGGCTTGGTTACAGAAGTTTAATCCTTTTATTTGTTCTACCACTTATTAACATTCGAAAGCAAAACAAGTCTTCGTGGAATTGTTTACTTAATATATAATATGAAATCTTCTACAACGTATAGCAATGGTAAACATCCAATGGTACGAATATAACGGTATTTTAATAAACTTTGGTTGAGAGTAATCAGCTTGTATTGACGAGAACCGATATTTGTGTATCTAGGTGCTGGCAAGTTCCCGAGCTACGACAGGTGGTGTCATGTTAATTCAATAACGTAGGCTGTTATGGAGGAAAACCGGTCCTCATCAGTAGTGATTTGTTTCTCTCTGACAGGCGTCAAATTGAAATAGGAGGTTGCCTCGGCTGTGAACGGTTTAATGATGAAATGGCGACATAATGCGGAGGGTACATTGCGGTCGGACAGCCTCTGTAGCAATCTCTCCTCTCACAGAATGCATTGCGGTCTCTTTATTTCATCTCCTTAAATTCTTCACGCCAGTTCAAGATTTTTGGAAAACATACTTGCAACATGTTATGATATACAATTATAAATGAATCTTTTCGTGTTCTTACACCATGTTTGATTTGATCAGTTTTGCATAAATATTTTTTAATGAAATGATAACCTTGTATCATACTTTAACGGAAATATTTGTGAGGGACATTGGGGTTAGGCAGCTGATACATAATGAACTCTACTTTTACTTCAGAACCTACACGTGGTTCGGGACCAAACGTTACTTTAAAGATGATATTTTGTTACTGATTCCAAGTATACAATAATTTGAATTATATGCGAAAATCAGTCATCAAATATTCATTGTTGCCTTTGGTGTATCAATAATGCTATAATGTGGGTACACCATCACTGCTCTTGCTTGTTATAGGAATGAACATATTCGTTGCGTTCTTCGTGCTGCTGTTACTACTGGCGGAGTCGACGCCCCCGGCCGCCTCCTCCATCCCTCTCATTGGTAGGTACCTCCAATACAAACTTTCTATCAATGGGCACACCACCTTCGTCTGCTGAAAGCCCATAATAGCGGACATAAAACCGTCAAAATTAAGCACACAACACAGGTGACACAGAACAGACATCAGATAGAACACACGCCAAATACAGCATGTAAATGGCACACAACACATACTTCAAATTGACTTCACAGCAAGGACATAAAGGGGCACTGCAGAAACAACATACTTACGTACAGGACACACCAGACAGACAAACAGGGAGTATAACGTAGACAACATACAGGACACATCACGCAGACATCATATAAAGAACAACACAGATAACACACAGGTACTTACATGTACTAGTTGTGCGTACTGAACATGTTTATGTTTACTTACAGGTGCTTACTACTGTCTGAACATGGTTTTGTTTATGTTTACTTGCAGGTGCTTACTACTGTCTGAACATGGTTTTGATCACTCTGTCCACCTTCCTCTCCGTCATTGTGGTAAATCTCTACTTCCGGGGGTCGCGTACCGAGGTCCCTCGCATTGTTAAAAAGGTGAGCCTCCATTTACATCGTTGGTTCCCAAAGCGTGACTAAAAGAATAAATAAAATTATTGTCAAACAATAATAAAAGTGAAAGTCTAGTGTAGATTAATATAACATGGTAATCAAAATTGTTTGGAATACAGTTTTTACTGGTGTTGAAAACACTTTTGGGAGACAGAGGAGTCTCCATCCAAACACTCAGTATATTGTTGTTAAATTGTCTGGTAGTCTATTGGAGAGTTTACCATGCTTAACGTGTTATTGTGTGTATTTCCAGTTTATATTGATGTTGTAGGGTGTTTGATATGCCACTTTTTGTATTCCAGGTGTTCGTGGATATTTTAGCGTGTTTAATGTGTATGAAAGATCAAATTCGCGAAAAACCAAAGTTGAAAAGTCAGGGACAAGTGATAAATAAAGACAAAAATTGCAAATATGACAAAGTTGGATACTATGAGATGCAGACAGAAGAGAGTTGGAAATGCCTTTCAAACGGTACGTCTGGTTTGAACAATGACCCAGAATCACAACCACAGACGGCGCTACAGAGCACTATCAGTGGTCTCGAGGCGGACGTACGGGAAATCAAGATCCATCTGCGGCAGCTATTTGAACGCACTGTGCAGCAGGAGGTAAAAGAGAAGACTGCCAGGGAGTGGAGGGTCGTCGCTCTCGTCCTCGACCGACTATTCTTCTTCGTCTACCTAACGGCAATTGTTGTGTCGATTATAACGGTATTTAAAAATGTCCTTTTCCATTCATTTTCCTAGCGTGTCTCGCACAGTAAGACACTCAGACCTAACCGGTTTTTTTATTCTGCACGGTACTAACACGGTGTCTTTACTCCCTATCGTGTCTCCTGTGACTCTAGGGAAAGGAGCGCTGCATGCATTTTATAACTAACGCTCGCCTGACTCTCACTGACTTCCAGTCGATCTTCCTGGCATGAAGATGTTAATGACAGGTACAGACCACTCTTGTGGGGCCTCTTATAGTCATAGGACAGTTTACCCTGCACTGCGCATGCTGATTTAATGGTGATATTTGAATATAGAATTAACTATGTAGGGTTACTAGGGAAATTGAATTACTGTAGACTGTAGACCATGCTAGCTCTAGAATTTCTCAATGGGACGATCATTCTGCCACAGCCTGGATTAACACTAGAAACAGAAATTGCACCGGTACCTTTTCCGGATATGATGTATGGTACCTTTTTTTCACTTTTTCTTTATTTGCACTACAAACTCAGCATGTATTTTGTTGAATTAAGAACAACTTTAATATTTTGTTTCAAACTATTCCGCAGACAATGTATAACATCCAATCCGGAGGGACACAGCACATCCGCAGTGTACATGATATAAACTGAGCAGTACTTGCACGAGGGCATGGTGATGGCGGGCATTATTTCGCTGTAGTGATACTTGGTTGAAGAAGTGACGGTGACTGGCATGTTCTCGACATTTGTTGAGGACTTGGTGGTGGCGGGCATATTCTCGCTGTAGTGGTACTTTGTTGAGGACATGGTTGTGGTGGCTTGTATGTTCTGTCTGTAATAGTAATTGGTTGAGGACTTGATGGTGGTGGGCATATATCCGCTGTAGTGTTGACGGGAATGTATATTTGGTGTTGATGACTTAAACTCAGTCTCGATCGTCTGAGGGGATAAAATGTTGACTTGTAAACGACGGCCTACTTTAACTGGCCTGTAGATGGTGATGTCTAGTTAATTCGACCACTTCAACACAACGTCCAGTTCATATGGCCTGGTGTACCAAGAACAGACAGAAGAGAAGCATTGTGTTTATGAGTAAGGTCGGATACAAGAACTAGCTTCTAGAAGTTAAGCACGTACGTGTGACATTTGTGAATAACGAAACAAAGATGGAGGTCGGTGGAAATACCTGCACTGGACATAAGCCGATAAATGCGCTGTTGAACAAAACAAAATGTTCTGAGTGCACAGTAAAGAAACATGATGTACACATATACTGCTGACGAAATAACAGCAAACAGTACACATAAACTGCTGACCAGTTTTACATAAATATGTTTAGGTCGCTTTAATTCACATCTTTACATTGTTCTCCGTAGCAATCAGTCATACACGCATGATACTTATACAAAATGTCAGCGTCGTTCGTCTGTGAGACCTAGGAGCCGCTGTGTGATGGTTCTTTTTCAGAAGTGTTTCAAATTTACCAATTTATGTGTTTACACCTGTACAATCTGGCGGGGCTACTAAATGTAATGGCTGGTCCGCGATGAGATGTCGTCACAGACCCTAGGGATAATACGAGGGACACGATGGCGCGGGACCCTTGCAACTAGGGCGGCACACTGTCAATTAAGAAATATGTGCGAGCGTTAAGTCACGTCTTGAAACTAATGTACCAACTAGTAATTCGAATGCACGTTTTTGCATAATTGGATCGTAAGGTAAAATATGAATATGATCTTTGCAATTGATTCATTTAACAAGACTCGGTAAAACCAATTTTGGGCCGAGAAATTATTATCAGGATTTGCTTAACACAAACTGTACAGAACTTGTTATGTGCATGGCGCGCGAAGACTAGTGTGAGCACCAATAACAGCGCTCTCTAGCAACGCTTAGAGAAACAGTGTATGCAAGTTTGCAAGCTGGACAATTATTTCAATGTACTTATATATGTTTATATGTATTTATCCATCCGTCGACTCATCCATGTATACTCATTTAAGGTAGAGAGTCCCAGCGCTCTGTGTTGTATTTCCAACGAGGAAACTGTTCCAATTTCAAGACGTACAATGTACACTGTAAAATTGCTTGCCAATTTACTATATTAAAGATACAGATATTTAATCATACTTTCCTAATTCACAAAACGGGTATTATATCCCTTGATTACAACAAAGGTAGCTGGTCTACAGCCCTAACGTAAATCATATTTGTTATGTTCATACTTTCCTTCAAAATTGATGGGAGTAACTTCAAAATGTTCGATATTTCTAAAAATGGTTCATAACCATGTATTTTCTTTTTATTTAGAGGAAATAACAAATTTAACAAGAACACAGTTTTCCTTATACGATATAAAAGTGTTGGGACCCTCTTCCTTAATCTTGAACATTCTAAGGACAATTTGATGTACTCGTTATGAAAACAATAATATGGTCATGATTCAACATCGTAGCCCGTCCAAAGAGCATAGCCAACAAATTCTATTTTATGTCATCCTTACTAACATTATGTACATAGTCACTCATCAGGACTTGTATATTTAAGTGTTGTGTTGTACAAGTATAGAACTAACTAATCGCGGTGTATTTCTGTACATAATGACATAACCTATTGGAAATGCGTATTGACTAGGAAATACTATTAGCATGGCATATTTACTACTAGCAAGATCATTAACAATAGCCTTTATATATGACATGCAAACGCTGTTACTTTGATGTTCATACAACTTGAAAATCATTGTCATAACTAGCAATTACATTTGAATATGACGCATGTCATCTGAACAGGAAATAACACTGAACTGTTACTGAAATGTACACGTTACTACCTTAGAATAAAGTTATTTTAAAGGTACATGTAAACATGGAGTACACAAGACTCGTATATATCTGTTAACCTAGTGAGCACGTGATAAGTATATGTCAACCTGGTGAATACGTGACTAGTATCTGTCAACCTGGTGAACACGTGACTAGTATCTGGTCAACATGACATACACGTGACTTGTATCTGGTCAACATGACATACACGTGACTTGTATTAATATCAAAGTTGTGTACACGTGACTGGTAATTTATCTGTCAATGGTGTACACTTAACTATATACACAGTTTCTGTTAAAATGACGTACACGTGACTGACTTTCTATAAACATGGTATTTATATGACCATTGAATGTGTGTCAACGTAAAACAATGTTCCATTATGTTTATGACCATCAAACCTGAAAAAAAAATACAATTAGATATGGGCGTAATGCACTCACACCAAAGCAAATGTTCAAAGTAAGTGTCAATGTTTCTATATGTGTCTGTCCAATTAGTAATACATCAGGTTGTTGGTGTACATTTCCAGCATGTGTAATTGTCTACAATGTTGTATATGTGTTTATATCTCAGTTTTTCTACCAACATGACTTTTTTTGTAGAATGTATAATGTATTTTAGGTGAAGAGAAAATACAAACACCTGAATTTACACATAGATCCTACATATATAGCACGTTCATTGTTGATAATTCACCCTGTATTTGATAGTTTGTGGCGTGAATCTCCTTTCTGAAATAATTAAACATAAGGAAACAGGTAGAACATCTCTGCTAAACAATATTTTTGGTTAATTAAGTGATACGACATATTATGATTTGATTGTTTTAAGGGCAACAATACCACAGATTACGGGTTGTATATGTACCGCAAGTATCGCATATCGTTCGGTAACAATGTATTTGTTCAGATAAACCCCAGCACGTCTACTGGTTACACTACATACCAGTTGTCAACGTACACCTCAACACGTGTACATTGTACTGGTTACGCTACACCAGTTGTCAACGTACACCCCAGCACGTGTACTGGTTACGATACACCAGTTGTAAACGTACACCTCAGCACGTCTACTGGTCACGCTATACCAGTTGTCAACGTACATCCCAGCACGTGTACTGGTTACGCTAAACCAGTTGTAAACTAACACCCAAGCACGTGTACTTGTTACATTACATCATTTGTCAACGTACACCTCAACACGTGTACTGGTTACGATACACCCGTTGTAAACGTACATCCCAGCACGTGTACTGGTTACGATACACCCGTTGTAAACGTACACCCCAGCACGTGTACTTGTTACGTTACACCATTTGTCAACGTAGAATCACGCACTGACAATGGTGAAACCATATTAGATGTCATCTGAGCACGTGTATTGGTGACGCTACATCAGTTGCCAAGGTAGACCCATGCACGTGCACTGTTATGAACCTTATAAGTTGTCACCCTAGATCTCAGCACGTATATACTGTTTATAAGTTTTCTTTAAATTTCTCATTGCAAATTTCAGTTGAACATCAGCTATACCAGATTGTTCACTAAACTGTATGTCAATGTTTGTTACTGATGTCCGAAACTATGGAACCATTATAAAGATCCCGTCAGCCTTAGATTCCATGTGCCATCCATTTGTGCGTTTGAGGTAATCTGAAGTTCTGTACAATCAGTGCTACTGTTTCGCCAGCTAGCACTTATTGTAATGTACACAGCACTTACAGGAGATAAAGCAATACAGCGCCCAATCCTATATTTTACATTTTGGACGCCAGTGTTCTTATTCTTATGCATCATGGAGCCACATTTTTTATATTCGACATATGTGTAGAACTGTGAATACTAGTACCTGTATTGTAACATATATGTGCCCGCTGAAGTGCACACTTGTACGTGCTTACAGTATGGAACCTCGTACAAACATGCGCCATTGGTACATTGTACGTATTGTTATAAATCCGTACGTCTATACAGAACATTGCTCTCAAAAGTGGCTATCTACTTTTCCTATTTGTTCATATGTATGTGGACGTATATATGTTAATACATCGTACATGGAATCATGTTTTTGATGATGAAGACGTGTTAATGAAGGTACGTCGTATTATACATGTACAGATGACGGCACGTTCTATTGGTACACGCGCATGCCCTAACGTCGTACTTGCTCGAGTGTTTATGTCACTACATGTGTATATGTACACGCGCATGCCGATACGTCGTATCAGCACACGTGTGCTTTGCTACGCCATATTCATGCATACGTGTGTATTTCAATAGTGCGTATATTGTACAGTTGTCAGGCTGTACGTCCAATGATCCATTAAATGATCACAAAACACACCTGATTTCAAAGAGCTGTGTTCTCGTCTCTTTAAAGGCGCAATTGTATTATATATTCTTGTAGAATCTGATTCTATTTTGTATTATATACGAGCAGGTTTAATGTAAGTTATCTGCAGAAATAATCACTGCATTAATGTTCCTTGGTTATACTGCATGCTGAACACACGAACAACTCTCTCTACTTAATGTGTACGCGAGATAACAAATCGAAATAAAAATAATCAAGAAATATTTTGTCTGTGTTTCTTTTAAGATATTGTCTTACATTCAGTTGTTTAAAACGTAATAATTTCCCTCAACTACAATGTGACACACCTCAAACTGATCAATCATACCTACATGTTACACTTCAGATTTATCATACACACGTGGTACACCTCAGATTTATCTTACACACGTGTTACACTTAAAATAATCATACACACATGTTACACCTCAGATTTATCTTACACACGTGTTACACTTAAAATAATCATACACACCTGTTACACCTCAGATTTATCTTACACTCGTGTTACACCTCAGATTTAAAATACACACGGGTTACACCTCAGATTTATCATACACACATTTTACACCTCAGATTTATTATACACACATTTTACGCCTCAGATTTATCATACACACGGGTTACACTTTAGATTTATCATACACACGGGTTACACCTCAGATTTATCATACACACATTTTACACCTCAGATTTATCATACGCACGGGTTACACTTTAGATTTATCATACACACGGGTTACACCTCAGATTTATCATACACACGGGTTACATTTCAGATTTATCATACACACGTGGTACACCTCAGATTTATCTTACACACGTGTTACACTTAAAATAATCATACACACCTGTTACACCTCAGATTTATCTTACACTCGTGTTACTCCTCAGATTTAAAATACACACGGGTTACACCGCAGATTTATCATACACACATTTTACACCTCAGATTTATTATACACACGGGTTACATTTCAGATTTATCATACACACGTGGTACACCTCAGATTTATCTTACACACGTGTTACACTTAAAATAATCATACACACATGTTACACCTCAGATTTATCTTACGCACGTGTTACACTTAAAATAATCATACACACCTGTTACACCTCAGATTTATCTTACGCTCGTGTTACACCTCAGATTTAAAATACACACGGGTTACACCGCAGATTTATCATACACACATTTTACACCTCATATTTATTATACACACATTTTACACCTCAGATTTATCATACATACGGGTTACACTTTAGATTTATCATACACACGGGTTACACCTCAGATTTATCATACACACGGGTTACACCTCAGATTTATTACATTGTATACACACATTTTACACCTCAGATTTATCATACACACGGGTTACACTTTAGATTTATCATACACACATGTTACACCTCAGATTTATCTTACACACATTTTACACCTCAGATTTATTATACACACGGGTTACACTTCAGATTTACCATACACACGTGTTACACTTCAGATTTATTATACACACGGGTTACACCTCAGTTTTATGATACACACGAGTTCCACCTCAAAATTATCATACACACTGGTTACACGTAACAAATTGCATATACAATTGTTACAATTCCAATTCATCAGTTCAGAGAAAAAAATCTTAATATACATGATTTTATTCCACACCTTATAAAATAACCATTTCAGAACGTCAATTAGCAATGACGTGCAAGTCGATCGTAACTGAGGCTTGTGTCCATAAAAAACATCAATAAACATTCAAACATTGTTTTTCGCAAGTGTTAGTAAACACTGGCGACATGCACCTCGTAGTTACTCAATAATCCTAGAGTCAAACACATAAAGATGACGCTGTTTCGTAGAAAGAAGTATCTGTGCATTTTCCATTTGTTGGCATGTATGTGCAGAAGGAGATGAGATCAGAAATTATGTTCGGAAATAGAGGAATATAACAATAAAACATGATTGCAAAACGAAAAGGGGAAAAAAGCCCAAGAAGAGCAAGGAATTGTTTACATGCTAGGTGCAAACAATCACAGACAAAAAAGACATACTTGAGTTGCCATTTACACACAGAATGACATGTCGAGGAAAGCGTTAATTTCGTAGAAACCTTTCTGACTGACACCATTGGGTTACAAATGCTGGAATGCGCTGTCAGACAATTAAAGCGGGTATGGAAGGGAGCACGTGCCAGACTGACAATACGCGTGCGCTCAGCGCCGCCCCGTGATCAAGCCTCCTGGACGACTAATTATAGTATAGTTACCAGGTTAATGTTTACAAAAGCAACAGAACGATTGGAATAGGACGGTTTAATGATGTATTCCTTAGCTATTTCTTAACCGCTTACTCTAAATCGTTATCGTAATCGTTTGTATTATCATTGGTGGTGATTATCTTTAAGTACACAACTCTTGCGCATGGAACCTAATATGCTGTATTAAAACGCCCATAACCCGGCACTTAGGGCAGCGCACTTGTCGAGTAGCGCCACCACTAACGCTAATCAATATCTCGACTGGAACGTAGATAAAACGTGTCAACACTTCGAAACTTCTCGGGGGAGAAACTCCGGGTAGGATTCATTGTTAACGGTGAATATTAACTTTAAGTCATACACGAGAAATCATTATCCCTTATTACCACCGCGTCTAGTGTCTTATCGTCACTGAGAAAAATCCAAGGGCTCGATATTGTAATTGTGTATTGATTCTACCTTCAATGACAATAACGGATACATTTCCACTTGACACAGTTAACAATCGCCCGACACGTACTGCGCAACAATCACAACGTCCTTCACTATCATAAAGCAACAATTGAAGAAGCGATCTACGAAAAAAACATGTTCATGTTGCCATTCGAGACCACATAACAATGATACTTTTAATTACAGGTTAAACGTTAAAACTCTTCACGTCATATCACATATACAGTTACAATTTTACATTATACGAACAAAATGGTTTGTGTTAAATTATTGATACACCTTCTATTCTTGTCAATCGACCTCGTTTTACTTCCATTCTTTATGCATTGTACAACAAAGATTATTAGAAGGTCATGTTTCTTACATGGGCGATATGCGACACTTGGAAGTCAACATTGACAATACTACAGGAAGTTAACCAGTTCACTGCTGTAACACTATCACGAAATACCGGATTTGACCGTGTTACTGTTAGCTTGTTCGTTAGAGCTTCTCACCATCGAGCTGACAAGGACAGGTGTACTGGTAGGAATCTAAATGGCTTTTGCTTTTACATTGGCGGCGTCCATCAGATACATACATGACTCCCGAGTGATACGTGTTTAGAGGCACTAAGGTGATATTTGAGATAAGAAGGTGATCTCTGAGGGAAAGGGTTGACCTATGGTGTGTTATCTGAAGCTCAGAGGTGCTAATTATTGGCAGGATTTAATGTAAATATTGATATCCTCACTCTTAAAAGTTTTAAAACTATTTGTTTTTTGGTATTTTCATGGTTATAAAGACGTGCTCGAGAAATACGAGTTTATATGTTCGTACTCAATAGTTTCAAATGAAATGTTTAAATCCCCATCCTCAATAGGATTCAAAATAATGTGAATACTGTATGCGCATGCTCAAAAGTATCCAAACCCAACATATTTATAGAAATTATAAGAATATATGAAACAGTGAAATGTTGACCTTTTTACATTGTATTACCTCAAAATGACATTTTGCATTATGTTTGGTTCCTGCACTTGTTGGAATACCAAGTATTGAAAAGGCAGATCGCGCTGCCAGAGCGGCTTTATTGCTAATACCTGTCAAGTGTATGCTATATTTTACTGAATTTAAGCCACGTATAACAATGTTTGCAAGGTCACAGTTGTAAAACAATAGAAATCAATGCGTAGACAACAAATTACACTCTATACAACCTGTAATCAGTGAATGGTGCCCTAGCTAAGGAGAAAGGCGCGGAGACCAAGCTGTTCTTACCATTACCTATCCTTACTTATTGAAATGCGAAGACCAGCTTTAACGCAAAACATGTCGCGAACAAATGTGGACACCATCATGGTCGATAGGACTCGGACTCAAAGTTTATATCATTTGAATGAAGTAGCTTTCATCAGGCGGTAATGTACTAGTACTGTTACATGGTTCTGATAGGATTCAATAGGAGAGATAGGCCTGACAAACAGATTCAATTTAATTACGTTAAAGTCGTCCATTCCAGGAAAATAATGTAACACACTTAATGTGACATTAATGGGCTTCCGTTGCCAGACGAAGTAAAAAAGCAGCCGATGAATTTAACGTCACTGTAAAATAACAGCGACTTGTGTAGCTGAGTTACCTAACTGTGGATTTACAGAATGGGTGTTACTGCTAAATGATAGCACGTTAACTCGACACGGCCTAGCTGTATAACTGACAGCGCCCGGGTTAATATCCTCTACAGTCAAGTCTTAATATTTTAATAATTGTTTCATGCACGCTAATGGCCTGTTTGTAATGCAAATTATTCTATTCGGGAAATGCATTGCCATTCTCACTTAGGGATGGCTCATTCTGTTGTACACCTACTCCTGTGACGAAACTGTCAGGGAAGACATGTGTGCAATGAGTCAGATGAATAGCAATTAGCTTTTACTGGAGTTAATATTTAACAGGTACGGCGCTGTGTAAAATGCCTGACCTATTTCAGTTTTTCTGTGAGGCACTTTTCCATGATTTTTGAGAATTGGATTTCTAATTTACAAATTGAACTTTAAGAAAACCGCGCACCAAAGAACCAGATAAATGAATAATAAATAGCTACCATCTTTAACTATTTTCTTAAGGGTAATCGGAACAGTGAATCGCTAATCAAATAGAATGATTACCAGACTTGTACTGCAAATTGTCGGTGTTATTGGGTGTTCAGCGAGTATGAACGAGTTGACCTTTAGCAAAAATCCACAATTTATATTGTAGAGAACTTTACATCTACGAATGGACAACGCCTTACACGTACTATAAATGTTTAGACAGGAATAGTTTAGTTAATGTGTACCATTTCCCTTTGAGGTTTGACCACGAGTTAACAATTACACGTAGAGAATATGATACTGCTGTCTTGCCTCTTGTTTCACCATTGATTTGTCCATGTATGCGCTGAAAAAAGCGCTACAGTAAACCATCAAATCGTCCAAATAATAGTTCATGAACATACGTTGTACGTTTTATTCCTGC